ATTTCCTACAACAGTGTGTACTACACACTGTTGTAGGAAATACTTGTAACCATGTGTAGTACACACTATTTCCTGATGTACACAGATTTTTGTCATAGTTTCGCCATATATATATATATGTATATATATATATATATATATATATATATATATATATATATACACATATATATAATATCCAGTTGCATCTCCCTATAAATAAACTCATGTGTCATAATAATCCACCAAAGGTAATTTTTTAGCCATGAAAAGTAAGAATCAAGGGATGAAAACACACCTGTGCGACGCACCTGTGGCTCGTTCCATCATCAGAGGATTCACACTATAAAAGCTGTCTTCAGACCTTGCCTCGACGCCGCAGTGTTGAATCTAGTTGGTTAGCACCTGAGCCAAGAACCTTCTGAGAAATCTTTATTACCCTTGAGTCCTGCTAGGATTCTAATCCTTTTGTCTCTGTTTCCAGGAAACCAGTTTCTCTCTAAGCTCTGGATGAGCTTAGACTGCCGAGCCTGCCCTCTGAGCCAAACCCGTAGACTCTTCTCTGGATTTCCCATGCAGCTCTGGATTAAGAGCTGGAAACCCAAAGCCAAGGTCTGCACCCTCATCAGAAGTAAAACGCTGAAGCAGCTATTGGACTCTGCTGAAACAAACCTTCTCTGGACCCAACAACTCCTCTCTCTGAGTTCGAACCGGAACCCTCAAGGTATAGATCTGAACTTCACAGAACCAAACCCCAATGCTCTCAAAGCTAACTGCTCTGTTATCTACACTCAAAAAAAAAAACTTGTTCCCAGAACGTAATAAAATTATGGAAATAATTTCCACCTAAATAAAATGCATTAATTTAGCGAGAAGCAATTTTGTTAAGTGAACAAAGTGTAAATATGTTGGGTCAACATGATGTATTTGCATTACTATTACTTAATTACCAGGTGTCAGTCCAACTAGATTAGTATGGGTAAATGTAACACACTAACGTAATTTTCTTAAGCCATTTAAACTTGTATAATAGGATTATTAGGCACATAATTTAATAGGGTAGTTACAACTACTTTTCAAAAATAGTACAGTACATGAATTTATTGTGCTGAGCCAACTAAACAAAGTTATGTAAGAGATGAACTTTATCATATGAAAATGAACATAAGTAATTATTCAGAAAATAAATAATTTTTAACATATTCAGCTATTTATAATGTAAATGTCAGCCTATATACCCCCAGCTGGTGTCAAGTTTGGAAAAGAAAAACATGAACTAAATTGAATTTGCTGAAATCACTTTACTATAAAACTGACTATGCTGTTAAAACACAACAAACAATACAGCTTGAAACAGTGTCCAAAATCATGTCTGTAAAAAAAACAACAACAGACAAACAAAAGTTGTAACTCCTGAGTTAGGAAATTGGAGCCCCCTGTCATTAGGTGTCTATATTTAGAGCTTTCTGCAAAGCTCTTTACAAAGTCATATACAAAGTGGTCCTGTCAACTGAGTACAAAGAACAATATTTGAAAACCAAAATACAGCATTATGCATGCATATCAAAATAGTTTTCTTTAGAAAATAAAAAATTTGTTTTAAAACCTTACCTTTGCTTAAAGAAACATTTCAAAACATTCTATTTTGTAAACCCAAAATACAACAAGATTTATTACAACACAAACACAGCTTCCATTTCAGTAAATACTCAAATGGCTTCAAATGCCTTCCCATTAGAGTAACTCCAAACCTGTAGTTTACTCTATTAAGGGTGACTAACGTGCAAGTAGAGTTTTCAGTGTTTGATTTTTTTATTGAGAGTCTGTTTCCATCAAGCTCCATGATGATCTTCTGCAAAGCTTCAAAGGTGTATCTGAGCTCTGGCGGGTAGCTGAGGTTAAGCGCATATACAAGCGCAAACAACATGACCACAGCAAGTGGCACGTTTCCCAGCCCATCCAGAACTTGTACGCTCTCCAGAACTATACCTACATCTTCCGGTCCATCACCTGGCTCTGCACCTTCCTTGCGAATGACAAATATTCCAAATGTCGTCTCCATCATTGCAGCTTCACTGCTCCCTCCATCTGTGTTCTTCACAGAAAAAAGGGGGAAATAGAGGATATACATGTAAAGATATGTTATACTGGTCCCATTTTTAAACACACACACACTAAATTACATACCATGTATTCTTTCACAAGGTTCTCGGGCTCTTCATTCAGGTACACACAGAGGGCTTTGATGATGCACTCTCTTTTGACATCAATGGCATCAGTCTGAGTATGTAGGACAATAAATAAAAGATAAAACATTTTAATCAACTGGTAGAAGATTTTACAAACAAAACTTTAAATTATACATTCTTCGAAATGTAACAGTCGTTGACAATTTTTATGATGCAGTATATGAACTTACAATATCCATGGGTGCATTGGTTTTATGTCCCAGCAAGACATTTCATCATAGAAATATGTCAAATGTAAGCATGTGCTCCCCAGAAACAGTACCTACCCGTTGTAACATCAGCGGACATTGTCATATCTGCCCAAGGTTAATATTTTATCAGATCCTTCTTCATAAAAGTACATTACACCCCTCTCCATCTAGTTTTATTTCTCTCCATCCCTCTGAAACTTCCGCTTTAAATTTCAAGCATGAAGTTTAGAATATTGAATCGGTACAGGTTTGACAATTTCTATTTTATTCTATTATCATACCTTGGTGATGGGTATCTTGATGCTCCTTATCTTTCTTTCTTGAACGCCGCCTTTTCTGGCTACCACCCTCATCAAGTTTGAAGAATGAG